TAATCTGTATTTTTTTCTGGTGGTTACTAAAATTTTATCTTTAAACCTACCTCAAGTTATTCTTAATTCTGTTGAACTCATCATAATGTAAACGTTATTGGTGGGCTATGAAGCCTTAATATTTAATATTGTACTCATTTGAAAATATTATTACTTCAAATCTACTATAAATACTTGCGTTTCTTAATTACCATAGTTTTTAATATTATTGAATAAAGTACTATTTTCTTTGATTCTATTTTCTCTTATATTTATGATACTACATTTTTTAAGTAGCATTAAATTTAAGTGCAATAACAAATATTATTTATAGTTATTATTTGTTTGAATATCTATATCTATGTTTATTATTCGATTACTCTTACGCGGTTGTATAGTTGTTCGACAAAAAAGAGTAATAACAGGCTCGTAGTTTTTAAAGATTATGACGTTATCATTACTGACGTCATCAATGCCTTTGTTCTTAATTGTCGTCAGGCTATTGAAAGTAGACTCTTAGACGATTTAACGATTTTTTTTTTATTTCGAATAGGTCCAAACCCTGCAACGGCTCGAGCGAGTATGTCTGTAATTCTTTGTTACCTCACCTCTATTTATATCAACCAACTCTCATTGTTGTGACTACACTTGCACAGGTGGCTACGCAGGTGCTTATGTAGGTGACACCTAAATAAAGGGTATTCGCTCCGATATGTGTTATTGAATCCAATTTCAACGAAATCAGATTGAAATTGAAATTTTAATAATCATTTATATAACTATATTGATTCGTGTAGATAGTAAAATCGCAACATTTCAGCTTGAAAGAGTTAGAGATATAAATTTTTTGCTCTAATTAAAAATTACATTATTTAAAAATAATTCTTCTATAAGAATCAATAACCCTGTTACACATAATATATTAGCACCACTATTTGCCTAATAAAATTGGCTAAACTAGTTCAAAGATTTATAAGCATGCTTCACGTAACTTGAACCTTTAAAGAAACACAGTAAAATCATAATTCTTCAGACCAAATGGGCACTATAACAACACTTCAATAGATAATAATTATTATCAATTAGTCTCAAATTGCGAAGGCGATAACACTTAAAGTGACTAATACATCGGTGCATTACTGATTTGTGTTTTATCATACAACAAATCCAATTAGATAGACGTCATATCTTTATCTTATGAATATAATCATATAAAAAACTACAAGTACACATATACTAGGAAATATAAAAACTTTTTAAAAAAAAAGTATGACCTTTTGTGAAAAATACTGTTACAGAATCATATGAATGAAATAATTAAATCGGCATTTATGTTTAAGTTTTTAAATACCCATATAACAAAGAAATTCTCGTGGGTCGCTTGCATTAGAATGTAACTACAGAAGCTTTACCCCCGTTTTAAAGTGCATGAAAACTAATAATCAAAACCAAGTCGGTCTAGTGTAGTCTTGAGTTAAAATTCTAATGTTTTTACAGAATCCCTTGAAAATTAACCCATATAGATAAGGTATATGTAGTTTTTTTATTATATATACATAAATACAATATAACCCATGGGCTTCGATTAGCTGATGAACTTTGTACCTACCACTTAAACTAGCAGATTTGGTGAAAATTGTACAAACTGTAAATTTTTAAGAGTGAATGTTATTCAATATCATATCTACGAATAGCAACGATTAATATCACTTTCAGTATAGATTAATGTTTAAAAGAAAATTATAATTTGACGCAGCGTAAATCTTAAGTAATTTTGTGTTGTTACTGTTTGAAGACTGTTTATTTACTGTATTTAGAATCATTTAAAGGTACGCCTCTATTTTATATTATATAAACATAAACACCTACTTATATTGTTCTGTAAATCTTTGAGAAAGATTTACAGAAGTATATATTAGTTGCTCATTTCAATTAAATTATGTAAGTTTTGTTAATGAGTCACTAGAAAAAGATAATTCTTGATTAATCATGCGTAATCATTATATCATAATTATTCATAACAGAAACCTCGAAAAATTACGTCTTAAAATCACTTTGAGTGGAAAAACAATCAAATTATCGTGTTTGATTAGATTAATTATTAATAGTTATTAGATTATGGAGATAGCTGTGACACCCTGAGCTACACTTCTTTTTAATTTTCAGTAAGAATACAGCAAAACAAATAGCATTCTCCAAGGGGCAGCATAGGGCACCATTTTTCTAGAATTAATTTTTAAAATTTTGCTTTTGTTAGACTTAGTTATAATGAAAGTTTATAAAAAAGAAAAAACACGAGTTTTTTCCAATATTTTTTTCATCACAAAATACATATAATGTTTAAATATCATTGTAAGGAATAAGAACTGTTGAAGTAAATATTTATTTTTTAAATTATATTGATGCATTCGTTTGTTTTATACAATTTATAACATTTAAATCGTCGGTCGTATCTGAGGAAAATATTAAATTACTTACTTACTTAGTTTTTAAAGAACAGAACCAGCATTGTTAGTACGGTAGAGTAAGTAATATTCATAACTAGTTTAACACTTGGGATAGAAATTAGGGTCTCAGGGTTTATCAAATAATGTCAAGCTATTGTTTCCTGAACTCCTCGTATAAATAGCAATGGTAGATAAGCTGATTCTTACTCCAATCATTTATAATAATATAAGTTTAGCTTACCTCAGCTCTATTAAAGATCGAAGGTTTACATTTAAATGAAAAACTACATTTAGTGGCAGAAATTTGTGAAATAATTTTTATGTCTACTATTTTTATTTCCGATTATAACCATAATTATGTTAGCATCTTCTCGTAAGTACTTTATAATATTTATATTTTAATGAAAAAAAAATGTAAGCTTAAGAGATTCCAAAATATACACACGATTAGTATCTTGCTAACGTAAATATGAACACCTTTAAGAACGTCGTGAGAATCTCAAGTGGCTTCCCAATATCCTTACACTGTCGCCAGGATAAACATAATTTTTCTCTACAACTATGAGTTATTTAACTCAAACACGCTGGTTTATTCAAAGGCTTGTATTTTTTTGGAGTACCGATTGACGTAAAAGATTATATAACTTAAATCTGGCGCTTTGTCATCGTTATACACTCCTATGGAACCCAGAATAAAAGAATAGTTTTTTTATTGCAGTAAGATACTCGTAGATATCAAAATAATTGTAATTACAAAACCCAATCTTTATAATACATTTATCAATAAATAATGTTTATTTTCCTTTTATTTATTATATTTTGACAATTTATTATTCGACGTGACTTAAAGCAAAGTATTAATAAGTTTGAATGAACATTTTGTAAATGGATTTCAAAACTACCACAAATAAACGTAATATTTTTCAAGTACCGATTTTACCTACATTTTTTGCCTCATATTCAAAATTCCTTTGAAATCTCGGAATCCATAGTTTTATTAAATGCATACCCGAGAAAGTTAGATATTTTGATAGTTTACAATAATTAGTTCATATGTGTTCTGGACTAAACGTTAAAAAGAACGAAAACAAGCAATTATCCAGCTGACAACATATGAATTCAAAGATATCCATATTTAAGGTTTATGTTCTTACGAAGACAGTTGAGGCGTGTTTTTAAAAATTAAGTATATATACATACGTCGTTAAATGCTTTACTCGTATAAAATAGAGATTTTTCTGCTATTGTTATTAAAAAAAAAGATACGGAACATGCTTTTGAAACTTATAATTAAATAAATCTGACGCTGAGATTAGATAACGGACTATTTATTACCTTTAAATTTAAGAGACAATTATTGTTTACTTGCCTTTTTAGTCATTGATACTTTACGTTTGACCCATTGCAAAATATATTTATGTTTCTATATTTTTAAGTATAATACTTAATTGAATATGTTTAAAATTATTAAATTTGTTGCGTTTTTTTATTTACTTGGTTTTGTTAAGTGCCATGTTTTTTTGGATTGGGACCCTCCAAATAATGCGTTCAATCAAGATTTTTATAAAAAAGTTCTTGATCCCGAATTATGTCAAAAGCAGTTAAATTATATCAGAAGGAATAACACTTTTTTGTTAGCACAGTGTAAGTTTTCGCAACATATTTAAATAAAAAAACATGCATTGATTAAACACCACTAAAATTTTGTCTGCAATAAAAGTTCCAATATATTTTATTATCAATTAGACTAATATTATTTCTAATATTTTAAAGTCCTAGATGCTGGATTAAAAATTCCTAGAGGACTTCTTCAGGGTAATATATTGGATATGGGAAATTATCACCAGTGCCTTGGTATAAGTGATGAAATCGTAGAACCACCAGTAGAGGGGAAGTATTGCGTAATTGGAATTCCACTATTTGAAATGGCATCAGAAAATAAATTAATAGAAACATTTAGTGTGTCAAAACAGTTCGAAATTTTAAAAAAAATTCGTCATATTCATAACGGAAGGTATGTAATAAATTATTAAGCCATGATTTTTGTGCAGTATTTAATAAAAGTACCTATTTATGTTTCTACATACTTTTCAGATCTTACGAGCGTAATAATAGGATAAGCATTCAACTAGCAATGTGTGTGCCAAAACCATGTACAACGAGGGAAACATTAAATGCTCTACTATTTAACCTAACGGCCGATTTTAAATACGAGGATGAATTTTGCAGACTTCCGAATGATAAAGCCTGGGTTACTGGAGATTTTGTTGCTGTGTAAGGATTTTTTGTCCATATTAATGCGAAAAAAATTATGCTATAATAAATTAGAACAAAGAGTTTAATAAGAAGCGTCTGACCGATATCTACGAATGCTGCTCTTTGTTCTAACGATTGAACTTAATTTATAGGTATATTAAAAATACAAACAAATACGATATGCTATGTATTTTCTAAAAACACGCTTAAAAAATTCAGAACAACTTGACTAAAACGGGTGCCAGATGTTTGTTTGGTTTGGTAAAATTTTCTTCGTAACTAAATAAAAATCTTCTGCAACGCTGGAAGGTCTTCTTGTTACGGCTCATAGAACAGGATAGAAACGGGGAAGGGAGCTTCTTTAAGGTAGATGGCTGGCCCATTAACGTAGAGTTGGGTCTCAGCAAAAGTGAGACAAACTCGAGAAAACAGGACATCAACATTTGAGACTTGCGTGATGAGTTCAGCTCCCCTATGTAATGGATCTGGAAGAAAGGCGGAACTTTCAGACACACTTTCGTGATGTCTTTCGGACACTAGTCGAGACGCCAATCACGTACTAAACGTTTTTGCCATGTATCAGTAATGATGATTGGAAATATCGCATCGTTTCTCATGAGGACTATTATGTGCCGGTGACAGCTGGGTGATAAGCGGCGTACATATGAACGTCAATGATTTTTGAGTGGTCCGAGCTTTCGATTATTGAAAGATGAATCTAAAGTTCGGTGAAATGAGCCCGAGATACCAGTGATGTGTTTGATGTTCTCTGTAAATTTAGCTGGAGGCCATCTCCCTAACCAAAGAGACTCATTTGGTAGAGTATTAGTAGGCCTTCAACTTAGAGCTGCAAACCACACTGAAGAGAAGTCGTAGCTTTTTAGTCGGTGGAATTCTATGATAAAATAATACTCGTCTCTAAAAGAAATTAGACGTAATGGTGATTAATTTATAAATAAGAGTTTAGAGTAGGAACCTCTCCCCACTAATAGTGTAACTTTCCAGTAGACGTAAGATTCCTTGAGTTATTCCGAGCACTTCCAAATTCTGTATATATGTAGCAATTTTTTGTATTTTTAATCAAAATTCTTACTATCCTTTGTTTTTAGATCCATTCTATCAATTATTGGATTGTTAACAATATTAAGTACAGCTTACGATATTTGGCACACAAAAATGCAAAAGAAAGGTATGATTAATTTAAATATTTTTTTTAAAGGTATATAAATGGTTGAATAACAATAATAAAAGAAATAATTGTTGTTTCAGATCCCAAGAATATAAATAAAATTATTACCTCATTCTCAATCTATAAAAATACAAAAGATGTTTTAACTTTTAAAAGAACAAGTAATTCCTTATTGTGCCTTGATGGTCTCAGAGCCATATCTATGTTATGGGTTATTGTTGGTCACGTCTATAGTTATCAAGTGCCTTATGCAATCAACGTATTAGAGTTTTTCAAAGTAAAGTATAATTTATTCCTTTTTTTGTTTTATTATTTATTTTATATAACACCATCTATCTATTTACAGTGGATGTCTTCGCCAGAGGCCATTTGGATAATGGCAGCACCTATTGCCGTTGATACATTTTTTCTATTAAGTGGACTATTAGTTGTTTATGTGACAGCTGCTAAATTCACTCATAGTAAATAAATTATATAATGTTAAATACAAAATCAACGTAATTTAAAGAAATTATGACTACAATCTTTTCATGTTATTTTAGTGCAACTCATAAAAAATCTTCATTTATTTTATCTAAACCGATTGTTGAGAATGTTTCCACTCCTTGCACTTACGGTCCTTTTGGAAGCAACGCTTTTTAATCATGTAGCTGATGGGCCGTTTTGGAATATTTATGCGGAAAGCATTCATAAGTGTAAATCATATTGGTGGAGCACCCTTTTATATATACAAAATTATGTAAACCCAGAGAACATGGTATTGTTTAATTATACCAATAAATATGTTATGTAAAAATTAGGAAACTTTTTTAATTCCATATCTTTTTTTAGTGTTTAGCTGCAACCTGGTACTTGGCGATAGATGTACAACTTCATATTTTGTCTCCGTTGTTATTGTTTTGGGTTGTAGGCAGACAAAGAAAAATTGCCTGGGCTGCTATCACATGTGTATGGTTAGCATCGCTTACTGCAGCTACAATTTATAATTTTATTAAGGAATTTCCTTCAAGTACATTGATGCCAAGGTGATTGTTTTTATTATTTTTAATTTTAAATTGTTTATTGAAACAAAATTAAACATCATATTATTTTCTTTTTTTAGTCGACCGACGGAAACACTATACTACAGTACATATTATTACATGAACACTTTAACAAGAGCTAACGTTTTTATTATTGGAATGATGCTGGGTTATCTCTTACATATTTGGAAAGGACATCAATTAAAAATTTCAAAAGTGAGTAAAAAATATAATTTAAATTGCATGAAATTAATGCCAAATTAAATCCCTTTAAATAAAAAAATCGTTTTTGACGTTATTGTTTCATGTATATTAATTTTTTCCAATGATTCAGGTATTAAACATGATTCTCTGGGTATTAAGTTTATCCATCTGTGCATTAATTATATATTGTATTCATCCAACTCTGCAAATTGATTATGAAAGTCAAACTTGGGACAGCATTATAAATTCTTTTATGAGGCCTTTATGGGCTTTGGCTTTATCCTGGATAATTTTTGCTTGCGTCAAAGGTTATGGAGGTATGTTGAGAAGATATAATTGTCTATTTTAATGATAAATGTAAATTGAAATAATAACACATGTCTTTTTTTAGGTCCAATCAATTGGTTATTTTGTTTAAGCTTGTGGAAATTGCCAGCTCGAATATCGTTTTCCTTGTATCTACTGCACATGCCCATTATAGAAATAACAAATGCCACTACAGTACAACTCGTTTATTTTGACGACGGATCACTAGTAAATAAATGAAACAATAATAAATATTGACTTTATACTTTTATGTACATACTTATATTTAATTATTAATTCATTTTCTTTCAGATGTTTAAATTTATGGGTATATTATTTTTAACCATGATGGTTGGTTTCATTGCTACAGTGGTGATTGAACAGCCCTTCAATAATATCATCAAGTTAGTTCTTGAACCAGGTAAAATATTAAGCTACTAAATTTCATCCTTAACCGGCCTATCACTAAAAGCCACTTTGATATGTTAATGAAATATTGTAATTGGTTTTCACAGACACTGTTTTCTTTAATTGCTTTACCAAAACCAAATATGTGGGTACATAATTTGAATTAATTTTTACATTTTAACAATGTTCTTATTGTTTAACGCTTAATTAATGGATAAAAAATTACCAACATTTTTTACATTTCAGCTGCACGCAGATCTGCAAAGCCTCAAGAAGTGCTTAAACCAGCCAGTAGGGAAGATGGATTAATTTTCGAATCAGGTCCAAATAAAGAAAAATAAACATAATTTTTTTGAGATAAGCTGGACTTAATTAATATAACTTTAAAATATGATAATTATAAGACTGCTATTAGCATTAATATTCTTTTTAAGTATTCAAAAAGATTTGAAATAAAATTTACTACTTGTTTAATTTTTTTTTATTTCTTGTGTATGATATGGATTATGCATACCTATAACTAAATACATTTTGGGCATTGGTACCTATAACATGACATAATTATAACAAAATATTGAAAATATCTAGTATAGAATACTTACACTACAAACTTGTTTTCGTTAAACGATTTCTGTATTAACTCACAAAGCAATGTTCTTATTGTCATAGACGTACTATTATCTCCTACATATAATTCTGATTTTGATAAAAAATTATATAATTCTTCCATACATATATACTTTAAAATTATACCAAGAAATCAATCCTGAAAGCACAAACGAAACTTCTTAGCATTCAATGGATTCATCCTGCGGGTGCCGGGTCCATCGCGCTGTAGGGAGAAGAGCTTGACTTTTGCCTATGGAATGGAACTTGCAACCTTCGTGTCGGTTTAAGGGGCCACTATCTAACATGCCTCAAACACTCACCTCCAGCGTTCAAGCTCCTCTATGTACATAACCAAAATTGAAAGAAGCTTGTTGGGCTGCCTTCAAAGTATGTTTCGAGAATAAATTAATATTAGCTCTGACATTATATGTTCACGACACCAAAATTTTAAATCAAATTTCCATAATGTGTTAACACAAAAGATAGTGTTTGGTCGATAAATATTGTTCGTATTGATTAATCAAAATATAAAATCTTATCATAAATTGTTATAGTCTACTCAATACTGATTTATATTCTCTACCGATCTTTATCTATGGTATTACCCGCAGTTGTTTAATTGTATAAGATAATGAGTCATAATAAGACATTTGTGTATTTATAACTTCATTAAAGGAAAAGATCTACAAAAAATGATTAAAAACACGCGGTCACTATACTTTGTTAAATCTGGATTATAATTAATATATATTCCTTAACACATATTACTACGAGGATTAGTTGAACTATGACTTATTTTTAACTGAGAAAGCGATTTCGATTCGATTTCGATACAAGAGTAGAATTTAAAATAACTGGTTAGCTCAGAGTAGTACTTTTAAATATTCTAGTATCTTCTAAATATTGCCCTCTTAGATGAAAAGGAAGCTCAGTATATTCAAACTCTTAAGCATGAATCTAAGATGATTCCAATTTATGTTTATCTAAGATGAGTCCAATTTATGTTCCATTTAAAATACGTAAATACTTTAATATGATCTAATCAAGAGCTTTTAAGCGATCTTTATTACCATGAACTAACAGGAACGAATCAAAATTAAAGAAATTCTGACCAAAAACTGTTAACTAGATTTCGTGTATACGTCTCAGGACCCAACCCTATGTCTGAAAAATAACCTAACCTGTTATTGCTTTTTATCCAAACCGGGTTTTTCTATTTATCTGTGACATCAAAAGCCTTAAGGAGAAGTGATAAGTCTGTGAAAAAAACGGATAAACTAAGAAAGAAGAAAGTAAAATGACAACGAGGATAAATTTACTGTACTTTAAAATTAAAGATTGATGACCTTTGTTAAGTGACAACCATCTTTAACGTTACATTAATTTAACTTGTCATACATCTCCAGAGTTATTAGAACCATAAAAAACCCGTGAGGGGCGGTGGTAAATAATATAAATGAAGTGTTTAAGACTCCAATTTATAATTTAAAAAATCACTGTGAGGAGGGATTACAATTCAGAAAAAAGTAATAGATCTGGATATCAAAAAGAAAACGCCGTCAAGTCCATGAACTCTGTTATCCCGAAGGCAACACAAATGGAAATCCTAATAAAGAATATTTATAGCTTAGATTATTTCATTCAATAAATAAATTTACTTTCTCATATTTAAGGGGTCGTAATATTCTTTAAAGGAAAAGTAAACTAAAAACTATATCAAGATGTAACAAAGATAAGTTCAGACAATTTATAGCGGACATTGAACGGTACTTGTATTGAAATGCTTTAAAAGTTATATAAGTGTTGAAAATAAA